TTCTTTTTTGATGCTTAGTTGTAAATCCTACTATTCTTTTTTGATGCTCTACGTTTGTAATGGAGTTTAAGATGCAATGTAAAATGTTTAGAGTTCTATTGTTCTATCATGCATGTGGAAATGAATAGCAGAACTGTATTTGATTTTGTGGCTTGGGAGAGGTGCAGCAACTCCCAAAACATTGTGAGAGGGTTGTTTCCCCTGCTGTCTGTTTTGTGGCTTCCACTTTTTGGTCTTTGGTGTCTGTTTTGCCCTGCTGTTGCCTGCTCGGTGGGATTCTTGTTGTCCCATTTAGTGCTTGTGACTGTTTTGTAGAACTTTACTGCTGAATGAGAATTTGTTAGTGGATGGTTCTCCTTATGGGCTGGAAATGTGTGTTTACAGCTTGGATGGTCCTCCTTATGGGCAACCGCTGTTTTGCTGAATGAGAATTTGTTAGTGGATGGTCCTCCTTATGGGCTGGAAATGTGTGTTTGCAGCTTGGATGTTCCTCCTTATGGGCAACCGCTGCTTTGCTGAATGAGAATCTGTTAGTGGGAGTTTGAACACCTGAATGAGAATCTCCTACTCTGAGGCATTATTAATCTCTTCCCGGTTTTCTTCTTTCAACGTCTTTGATATTTCTTCTATGTTGTTGGTTTAAGTATATTGCACATTCTTAGATTATGTCGACGATCAAAGGCAACATTAATGCAAACTATGTGTTGTTGGCTTTCAATGTTCATATGACACTGCTCTCGATTCACTCTTTGTTAATTTCATTTCTATTGTAATGTATTGTATGACCATAAATGACCTATTGAAAATTGTAGGAAACATAATATTGACTGGATGGGGAAGGTATGAGTTTCTACCATTTCATACATGCTTCTTGAGCTCTCACCATCATAGCTGTTACAGATTTACCTAACTTTTATTTTCATACATGCTTCATGCTTGTAAAAATTGAAGATTAGGTGTTAGATATGTAAATGCATAAGAATTGAGTGGTATGTATCAGGACCTGGACTTGTTTGTGCTCGCCAAGAACTCATTTAGGATTTGTTTAAAATTGAACAGGATCCACGGCGTGGACTTGTTTGTGCTCTTCCATTTGACTATTTATTTGTGCATTTCTTTGCATGCAGGGATGACATAGTCACGTAAATGAAGGACAATTTTATCAGGTTCTGCTGTACGAACTTGATGCAATACGCAAGGTATATGTTTCAATTATTTTTTTGGATGATTTACACATATATATAACTCACTTATATATTTATATATCCAACACCTAAATTACATTTTTTGCATATATGTCATCTTAATGACCAGCATTCAGTTAATTACATATATCCTAAATTACATATCTTTTTTGCAGCATACTTCTCGACTGTTCGCAAACAACCATAATGACCAGCATTCCGTTGATAAAAGTGGAAACATACTTAACTCATTCTTCTGAAATGAGCAGACTGAAGGATTAAAGTTGAATGAACGTTGGGATTTCTAGAGTGATTTTTAGAGTGTTAGACATGTAAAATTGTATTTATTTTCTTGTTGCTTTTCAGTTCTTTATATAATATACATTTTGTTGCAATTGTTATGTTGTTGATTGTTAGACATGTAAAATTGTTACATACATGATCTACATGGAAAAACAATTTATTTAAAATATAAAATTTTTGTGTTAGACATGTAAAATTGTAAATACATAAGAATTAAGTAGTATGAGTGAAAAGTTAGAGAGAGAGAATTTCGAACATTTCGGACATTTCGAACATTACGAATTCGAACGATTCGAACGATTAGAACAATTCGAACAAAAACGAACCGAACACGAACAGACTTTTCACAAACAATTTCGAACACGAGCCTATTTCAAAACAAATTATATTTCAAACGAACCGAACACGAACATGAGCACTGTTCGTTCGTGTTCGGTTCGTTTACACCCCTAATCTTGTTGTTGCAGGTCATGAAGTCTCGAGAATATGTTTTGTCTGTAATGAGTTGGTATGTCTTTTTGATGCATCTCTTGTTTCATCTTTAGACAATGTATGATGGAATATGTATTCAAAGACCACTTTCATTGTCTGAAGCCACTCGATTAATTTGTTTAAATCCTGTGACTGTCAAAATACAATAAATCGACCTTTATTTCAAGATCCTAACTTAATCTGATATTTTCTGCCAAATTTTAGAGGTAGTAGTTATTCATCCCTGGAATTTGCTTAATGGAAGAGATTCTATTCATACCTTCGATCCGGCAAGTCATTGTGACCACGAGTGACCCCTCCATATTTTATCCTCTCAACAACGGCGAACCTTTAATGCAGCTGAAGAATCTCCCGATGCACCTCTTCCATTGCATGATCTTGCATATCTCTTTGTGAATTTCTCATAAGCAGCATTGTACAATTTCCTCCCAATAAGATTTCTGGTCATCGTCTCCTCGATGTCGTGGCTATAATTTAGGTTTGGGTAAGGGGACGAAGGTATATGGGAGTGATGCAGCGCTGAAAAGAAAATTTTGTTTGGTGTTTGGTTTGGAAAATCAACAGAGGGAAGAGTTTTGCATTGGAGTAGGGTTAGGTAGTGGGAAACTTTGATAACCCTGTGATAAAACTATGGTAAGGCTATCTCGGATATCAAATGATATCGTAGTACCAAACTATAATAGGGAAATCAAATATTATTATTAACATCAAATAGGGATTACATTTAGATAATTGAAATAGAAAATAATGACAAACACGACATACAAACTTAACACGGTTGTATCCCAAAGGGGTGGTGGTTGATTATGCAGCATGAAAGGAGTTAGGTGAGTTAGAAATGGTGGTAGATGGTTGGAATGGGTAGGATGGTGTGATGGAGAGTGGCAATTACAACAAGGAGGGGGTCTACGCAGTGGGTGAGGGGCAGCAGTGAGTAGTGATGGTTGGAAATGTTGCAAGCAGCAAGAAACAACAAGGGGGAGGGCAGCAGCAGGGAAACAACAATGGGAGATGGTAAGGGGCATCTGGGAAGGTTGACGTATGCAGGAAACAGCAAAGGAGGGGCTCGAACGGCGATGGCAGCAAAGAGGGGGGGTTGGAATAGTAGCAAGTGTAAAGATGGAGGGTTGGAACAGCGATGTTAGCAAAGAAGAAGGGCTGGAACAACAGCGAATGCGAAGATGGAGGGCTGGTACAGCGATGGCAGCAAAGCGTAAGAATGGGAAGGCGGTGGTCACGGCTGGAACTGTAGAAAAGCAACTAGGAATGACCATTAAGAGCGGCCGCAGCAATGATGGGTGACGAGAAGCAGCGTGGGAAGGATATTGAGAGGTAGAGGAAGGATAATCACCCCCTAGAAAGAGAGATACAGCCTGAGCACCACTCAACCCTTACATACAACCCTAGAAGAGAGAAACGGAGACGCCAACGGTTGTTCCGAACAAAACCCAGGACAAAAGCTGCCCTAAAACACTACAACAACCACCAATATAGATCTAGGCTTACTTAGGATTGGGCCCACTCTAGTTAAGCGGCAATCCCATATAGAGGAAGGATCGGCCAGCCCTTAAGGCTCCCTTCTATACTAGTCAAAGCCTTGTTGTTGTTCCCGCGTTTAGTCTAAGGCCCGCGACTTCCGTGGAGGTTCGCACCTAGCCCGATTCTGCACCTAGCAGTAGACACTCCGGTCAAATGCACCCCCTACACTCTGTCGAGGAGCACTTAATACTATGTCATATCATTAAACAAGGCTATGAAATTAATCACAAGTACTTTAATAAAATAAAGTCACATTAAGAAATTGTTGAGTATCTGCTAAACACATCTAAATCACAAGCAGGTTAGAATGAAAATATGAAAATTCTGTCTTTGCTTACCTTAGCAGATGAACAACCATGAATAGCAACAAAAATAGCAAGGAACTAGTAAGGATTCTGAAACAAACTGTTTTCAAATTATCCTTGAAGTAACATTACACAAAATTCCAATCCTACAGAAAGAAAAATTTACATCCTAGGCAATTGTGCATAAGGCTATAAAACTATGTTTATAATACAAATTGACACTATAAAACAGTATCCTGTTTTGCTAACTATAAACCCTAAAAGAACCTTCGAAAATAAACAAACCAAATTACACGGGCCAAAGGATGGAGCTCAGTGTCTACCCACTGAGAAAGCAGAAAAGACACTCAATATATATAGTAGCCATTAGTATCATGATCAGGCTGGAACTTCATCAATAAAAAAACTGAGGAAATAGACTTGGCACAAATTAATTTGTATAAAAGCAAGGCAAGAACTCCACAGAAAAAAGATTCCAAAAAGCTCTACATTAAATATTCCAATCGGAGTTTTATTCCAGATAAATTTCCTACATGGCCCAAGCATGTCTCTTAAGCCTTAAAAATGACAAGGTCGAAGCTGCAACCTCCATTTAAGGGCACAAAAAAAAAGAAAAAAAAAAGGATTTCTCACCTTGAGAAGCAACCAGCTCAACAACTCATCTGAATCTTCCTACTCAGGTAAATAAAGATACGGTACTCGAGAAACTATAAAATTAAAAACGATAGAGAAAAAGAAAAAACTAAACATGACCCATTTACTATAGTAATTAAGCACGAGGACTGCAGACAAAAGAAACCCTAAAATCTGAAAGCCATGAATACGCATTTGAAAATAAAACTCACAATACGATCATTTGTCCCGATGGCCCCTTCAAGGATGCGAACACGAGCGCGTGTCTCCTCGCAAAGTTTCTTGATAAGCTCTCCTTTTCGACCAATGATACCCCCGACCTTCAGCACCGGCACAATAAGCCTGAAGACGCTGTTGCCTGGCCATCCTGGCCATTTCTTCGTATCATCATCCGAACTATCAGCGGCCGGAATTGAATCCGCGACGGCGCCTAATTCTTCGGTCTCCATCGGCTCCTCCTCCTCCTCCTCTTCCACTTCCTCCTCTTCCTCCTCCTCCTCCTCCTCCTCCTCCTCGTGATGCGGCGTGGAAGAGAATTCCTCCTTCACCTTGACATCCGAGTTTCCGTTCGCGGTATTGGCTGCCGCCATTGGTGAATTAAGCTTGGATGAGTTAGGGTTTTGGAGGAGCGCGAGGGTTTGCGATTTGAGAGAAAATGGGGTGGGGACTTGACGAGAACGAGTTGGGGTGGAAATCTCAAATCTCTATGTTATAATATCTGGATCTAAGCCCGGGTTTGATTCGTCCGTGCTTATGTAAATCCACGGCCATCGCATGTACGTAAGCAACCTAAGCAAGCATGGAGCTTTTGTGTTAGGTTCCTTTGAGCTGGTGTTGGAAATGGAAAAATATTACATCTAATGCAATCGGAGTTTAATGATGGGGCGTCATGTGTCAAGTGAACTTCATCATTTTTAATATTGATCAATGTCAGTATAATACGATGAGGCTCACTTGACGCGTGACGCTCCACCATTAGACTCTGAACGCAAACTGCGTTAGGAGTCTTGATGTAAAATTTTCTCTTTTGAAATAGCTCATTAAAATTTTATTCGTATTTAATATGATTCAAATTTGAATTTATTCATATTAATATTTTTATTTCAGCATATTTCAAAAATAAGAATAAATAAATTCTTCACATTTCCTAATAACATGCAAAATAAAATTTTTGATGTAATTTACTTCTTAAATTAAAAGAAAAAAATTGTTCCTCTTTGGGGGGGGGGAGTAAATTAGAATTTCTGTCTCATTTTTTGGTTTATAAAGGATTTCTATTTGAAATTACCTCTCATATGGTTGATGATGTGAGACTAAAAAGAGAAGCCGGAATGGAGAATGAGGCCGAGAATTTAACATATATATATATATATATATCACATCAGGAAAAATGAGCTTTTATGGGAAAATCTCATGATATTTAAATACACACCATCCGGCTCTTATTTTGAGTTTCGATCATGCCTTATCAAGTTGGTGGTAAATCTAAAACAAAATCCATAACAATCTTTTCCAAGTGTTTATATGGAATTAATAGAGGTGTATACAACCATGTTTTCTATTGTTTACATTTACCAAACTAAAAGTCCTTCAGTACAACATTAGCTAAATCTTTTTCTTGGATCTGGCCAGTAATATCTATTGTCGATCAATGTGATGGTTTTATCTCCATCAAATTGTACAAAAACACCTTTTACATATAATTCTAAGATATAAAAAACACTTGAATGATTACAAAGTTGAGTACATTTGGATAAATAACTAACTTAAATTAGGCAGTATTTGTTGTGCCAAGATAAGAAATTACTTAATTATTGATAAATCTCACTAAATTTTTTATAACATACATCTTTTTAATTTTATCATAATTAATTATCTTAACTATTTATTATATGTAGAAAAATGAAAACAAACCATAAATTTATCTATTTTTATATTCAACACAATGGTTAAGGACTAAAGATTTTTTTTGTAAAAATTAAACCCACTTAGCATTTTTATATTTTAACTTGGCTTGGTAATTCAAATATTTCAAAGCTTGATGGCTAATTTATAAATGCAAACTGTTTAGGTAATTGTTAACCTCTTCAATATGGAAGAGCTTGTAGTACTTTTTTATTGTGGTTTGAATATTTTTATTTAGTTTTATCAACTTTTTACTTATGAATGCAATAGAATATTGTTGGTTTTGAGAATATAGCGGAAAAATTTTATTGATATAAAAGGAGGTATAAATACATTTTATATGAATTCTAAATTAGAAAAGACATAGCAGTAATATCTCTTAGATTACAATTAATTAATTTCTATTAACTACCCAGATATAAAAGAAAAAACATCAAATAGAAAATACATAAAATAAGAAATAATCGGAAATGAAACAAATCAATACTAATAACTTCTAACATAAGATAAAAGATTACTACAAATGAACTAAATCATTACTTTTAACTTCTAACGCACTCTCTCAAATTGAAATATAGATGTCAATCATGTTCAATTTAGACTTGAAATCATCAAATAATGGGAGAGGAAAATATTTTGTGCATCTCCCTTTCAAGTAATAATAATAATAATAATAATAATAATATTAATATTAATATTAATAATATTAATACTAATAATACTAATAATAGTAATAATACTAGTAATAATAATACTAATAATAATACTAATAATAATAATAATAATAATAATAATAATAATAAAATATACATATACAATAAATAATAATAATAATAATAATGCTAATAATAATAATAATAGTAATCATAATAAATTCAAAAGTTTAATTTAATGAAACAAAAAAGAAGAGGATTGAAGCAATAAAATGACTAATATAATGAAATTAGGATAATTTAATTAAATAATAATTTTTATAACTTATTAACAATAATAATAATAATAGTAATAATAAGTAATAATAATAATAATAATAATAATAATACCAATAATACTACTACTACTACTATTAATAATAATAACAATAATAGTAATAATAATAACAATAAGATAAATAAATAAGAACGTGAATTGTAACTTGAACAGAAACATAATTAAAAAACAACTTGCAGTTTATACAAACATGGAAGTAGAAGTAAGATTAAGTAAAAAGGTTTCACAGGAATGTGAGTTTTCTTTAAAAATAATATTGACATTCACATAAAAGAAACCATGGCCAATATTAAACACACACACACACAAAAAAAAAAAAAAACTCAGCAAGATGATAACTCTTCATAATCTTCATACTAATATATGCATCAACTGAATCTGTAGATGACTTATGAACTAATCTGTAGATAACTTCTGGACCGTGCACTTCAACAGCGCTACCTTTAGGGAGACAAATGTTGTAGCCCTGCAGCTGCAAGAAATGGCTGATAGATACAAATATTGTTGGCATATGATTTATGTATGATCCTGCAATATTTCAAGGAATTCCAATTTCATCAGAAAAAGGTACAGAAAACCATAGATATGAAAATTCACGAAAGTTCAAGGAGAAGCTATACCTCATCAGTGACAACAGACATAGGATGTTTATTTGGGGCCATCATTTTAGACTGACAATGCCATTTTTCCAAGGTTCTTCTCTAGTACTCTTCTCACTAAAAATATCCTGCATAATTCTTTTCCTTGAGATGTGCTAAGGCTTTTTCAATCACATGTATTCTGTAAAATCCAACAAGAAAGAAACAGAAAAGAATTAAACTCAATGATTGGAACTGTTGGATATACTTTTTATAGGCCAGAACAATTGCAAGAGACTAAAATACATTGACTGAAGATGTAAATAAAAAGGGCAAAAATAGGTGAAATTAAGGTCCTGAACAATGAAATGGCACATCAAAATGAAAGAATGTCAAAAATCACATCTTAAAGAATGTAAAACTAAACAGACAGGACCATTAATTGAACAAGTGAGAGTCAATAAAGCAGGAGTCACCTATGAAATGAATCTTTGTGTTTTCATCCATTTTAGTTGGTACCAGCACTTTCAAAGTAAAAAAGTTTATTTACAGCAAAGTTATTGTGTTAATTCATAGAGCAGTGCTTTTTTTTCCTCCCTCCCATGGGAAAATGAAGCATGAGCAATTACATAAACCCGAACCAAAACGTCCACTCACATATAATAAAGTTGATGACACTCACATCAACAAAAAAAAACTAAAAAAAAGAAGTAAATCAACAACCTATGTCAGAGCAAAATGCAAATATGTGGAATATTTTTCACAGTTCCAAAGATTTGAAGTGTTCCAAAGCTTTGATGCCACCAACAATAGATTGTGAAATCTAAATTTTATTAGTATGATGATGCCAGAGAGGATGTCAATTTCTTAATAAAGAACGTCAAGGTTCAGTTTATTTAGAAAATTATGATAGCATTATGGTGGTGATCTGAAGCAGGTCAAAATCCCTTGGAGTTGTTTGGGTTAACTTTTTTTTTTTTTTTTTTTTTGCTTTTATTTTAAACACAGTCAATGCCGGTTCTAAGCCCGGATGTGAAAAATGGAGGGTTACATTAAGTCATTAAAAACCAGCATAAAAATTGTCAAAAAAATCATGACATGAATCCTTTTAATTATTGTGTAAATACTAGTGTGTCCCCTGGAAGCGACGTGTTGTATAGTTTGTATACAGTGAAAAATATGTCAGGGTCGTATGGCCAGAATATAGTGAAAGCGTGCATAGGTCAATATACCGGCGCCCGGGTGTTGTGTCAAATAAGCAAAGGTTTCCACATTACGGACGAATGCGAGTAAAGAAGTTAGCCTATGAAACTGATATTATGATAGGATCTTGGAATATAGGTACTTTTACTGGTAAATTAATAGAATTAGTTGATATTATGATTCATAGAAATATAAATATTTTATGTGTTCAAGAAACTAAATAGGTTGAAGAAAAGTCTAAGGAGATTGATAACTTAGGTTTTAAACATTGATATTCAGATAAGAGTGCACTAGAAATGGGGTAGGTGTAACTATAGATAAGAGTTTGAAAGATAATGTTGTAAAAATTAATAGAGTTGGAGATATAATTATAGTTCATAAGATTATTGTTGATACTAAGAATTTCAAAATTATAAGTACTTTTGCTCCTCAAGTAGGTTTAGATATAGGTTCTAAAGATAAATTCTAGAAAGACTTAAGAAGATTTAATACAAATGATACCTCTTGAAGAAAGAACTTTTATTGGAGGAGATTTAAATGCATATGTGGTAGAGTGATAGAAGATTTTAGAAATATTCCTGGTGGCTATGGTTTTGGAGTGATTAATGAAGAAGGTAGAGTTATATGAGATTTTACTTTAGCCTGTAATTTTGTTATGGCTAATATTTTATTCAACAAAAGAGATAAGTGTATTATTACTTATAAGAATGGATCTAATAAAACAAAAATTGATTATTTTCTTATGAGAAGAAGATAACGTTGATAATGTAAATATTGTAATTATTGTAAGGTCATTCCAAGTGAGTATTTAAGTACCCAACCTCCATTATCAGTTCTAGATTTTATGATGAAGAGTTGTAAAATAAAGAATACTAGAAATCATTGTCTTAGAATTAGACGGAGGTACCTAAACGACACAAATAAAATTATTTTTACGAGTAAAATTAAAGATTTCAAATTTTGGGATGTTTATAGAAAAAGCAAATTTTATGTGGGATAAAATAACAAAATTTATTAAACAAGTGACAAAAGTTGTACTTGGAGAACCAAAAGAAAAAA